CTCCCTATGGGTCTATAACTGCTCCCTATGGGTCCCTATGGGGCTATAACTGCTCCCTATGGGTCTATAACTGCTCCCTATGGGTCCCTATGGGTCTATAACTGCTCCCTATGGGTCCCTATGGGTCTATAACTGCTCCCTATGGGTCTCTATGGGGCTATAACTGCTCCCTATGGGTCTATAACTGCTCCCTATGGGTCTCTATGGGTCTATAACTGCTCCCTATGGGTCTATAACTGCTCCCTATGGGTCTCTATGGGTCTATAACTGCTCCCTATGGGTCTATAACTGCTCCCTATGGGTCTATAACTGCTCCCTATGGGTCTCTATGGGTCTATAACTGCTCCCTATGGGTCTCTATGGGTCTATAACTGCTCCCTATGGGTCTCTATGGGTCTATAACTGCTCCCTATGGGTCTATAACTGCTCCCTATGGGTCTCTATGGGTCTATAACTGCTCCCTATGGGTCTATAACTGCTCCCTATGGGTCCCTATGGGTCTATAACTGCTCCCTATGGGTCCCTATGGGTCTATAACTGCTCCCTATGGGTCTCTATGGGTCTATAACTGCTCCCTATGGGTCTATAACTGCTCCCTATGGGTCCCTATGGGTCTATAACTGCTCCCTATGGGTCTATAACTGCTCCCTATGGGTCCCTATGGGTCTATAACTGCTCCCTATGGGTCCCTATGGGTCTATAACTGCTCCCTATGGGTCCCTATGGGTCTATAACTGCTCCCTATGGGTCTATAACTGCTCCCTATGGGTCTCTATGGGTCTATAACTGCTCCCTATGGGTCTCTATGGGTCTATAACTGCTCCCTATGGGTCTCTATGGGTCTATAACTGCTCCCTATGGGTCTCTATGGGTCTATAACTGCTCCCTATGGGTCTCTATGGGTCTATAACTGCTCCCTATGGGTCTATAACTGCTCCCTATGGGTCCCTATGGGTCTATAACTGCTCCCTATGGGTCTCTATGGGTCTATAACTGCTCCCTATGGGTCTATAACTGCTCCCTATGGGTCTCTATGGGTCTATAACTGCTCCCTATGGGTCTATAACTGCTCCCTATGGGTCTATAACTGCTGCCTATGGGTCTCTATGGGTCTATAACTGCTGCCTATGGGTCTATAACTGCTCCCTATGGGTCTATAACTGCTGCCTATGGGTCTCTATGGGTCTATAACTGCTCCCTATGGGTCTATAACTGCTCCCTATGGGTCCCTATGGGTCTATAACTGCTCCCTATGGGTCTCTATGGGTCTATAACTGCTCCCTATGGGTCTATAACTGCTCCCTATGGGTCTCTATGGGTCTATAACTGCTCCCTATGGGTCCCTATGGGTCTATAACTGCTCCCTATGGGTCCCTATGGGTCTATAACTGCTCCCTATGGGTCCCTATGGGTCTATAACTGCTCCCTATGGGTCTCTATGGGTCTATAACTGCTCCCTATGGGTTCCTATGGGTCTATAACTGCTCCCTATGGGTCTATAACTGCTCCCTATGGGTCTCCCCCCCCCCCAGCCCCATGGCGGACGTGGCCTTCGAGGAGTTCTCGGCGCCGGGCTCGGAGCTGGCCCTGCCCCCTCTCTTCGGGGGCCACATCTTGGAGGTGGAGTTCGAAGGGGCGGGGTTAGGGGCGGGGCCTCGCCGAGGGGGCGTGGCCCCGGGGGTGGGAGGGGCCGGGGGCGGGGACGAGGAGGAGGAAGAGGAGGAAGAGGAGGAGGAAGAGGAAGAGGAAGTGGGGGAGGAAGAGGCCGAGGCCGCGCGGCGCCGCCGGGACCTGGAGCTTCGGAAGCTGCAGGCGCTGGCCAGGAGGGTGCGGGAGATCGAGCAGGTGAGGCCACGCCCCCTTTTGAGGCCACGCCCACTTTCGGCCACACCCCATTTGGCCACGCCCCCTTTTAATCCAAGCTCCGCCCACTTTATTGTGTCGTCGTCCCCCCCTCCCATTGCAAGGGATGGGAGGGTTGGCCACGCCCCCTTTTGAGGCCACGCCCCCTTTCGGCCACATCCCATTTGGCCACGCCCCCTTTTAATCCAAGCTCCGCCCACTTTATTGTGTCATCTTCCCCCCCTCCCATTGCAAGGGATGGGAGGGTTGGCCACGCCCCCTGGGGGGGGGGGGGCACGCCCCCTTTTGGACCACGCCCCCTTTGGCCACGCCCCCATTTGGTCCAAGCTCCGCCCACTTTATTGTGTCGGCTTCCCCCCCTCCCATTGCAAGGGATGGGAGGGTTGGCCACGCCCCCTTGTGGGCCACGCCCCCTTTGGCCACGCCCCCATGTAGTCCAAGCTCCACCCACTTTATTGTGTCATCTTCCCCCCCTCCCATTGCAAGGGATGGGGGGGTTGGCCACGCCCCCCCCGGGCCACGCCCCCCCCCCCGGGCCACGCCCCCTTTTACTCCAACCTCCGCCCACTTTATTGTGTCGGCTTCCCCCCCTCCCATTGCAAGGGATGGGAGGGTTGGCCACGCCCCCGGGGGGGCACTCCCCCTTTCGGCCACACCCCATTTGGCCACGCCCCCATTTAGTCCAAGCTCCTCCCCCTTTATTGTGTTGTCTTCCCCCCCTCCCATTACAAGGGATGGGAGGGTTGGCTCTGCCTCCCTTACCAAGACCACGCCCCCTTTGGAGCCACGCCCCCGTTGGCCACGCCCCCATTTAGTCCAAGCTCCACCCCCTTTATTGTGTCGTGTCCCCCCCCAGGGCTGGGAGGGTTGGCTCCGCCCCCTTAGTCGGGCCACGCCTCCTTCACGTTGGCCACGCCCCCTTTTAGTCTTAGTCCCGCCCCCTTAGCCAGACCACGCCTCCTTTGGCCACGTCCCCTTATGACCAAGCTCCGTCCCCTTTATGTTGCTCTCCCTCCCATTGCAAGGGATGGGAGTTTTGGCTCCGCCCCCTTAGTCAGGCCACGCCCCCTTCGCTTTGGCCACGACCCCATTTAGTCCAAGCTCCGCCCCCTTTATTGTGTCTCGTGTGTGTGTGTGTCCATTGCAAGGGATGGGAGAATTGGCTCCGCCCCCTTAGCCAGGCCATGCCCCCTTTCAGTCCAAGCCCCGCCCCCTCACGTTGGCCACGCCCCCTTTCAGTCCAAGCCCCGCCCCCTCACGTTGACCACGCCCCCTTTTAGTCCAAGCTCCGCCCCCTTTCTGTTGTCCTCCCTCCCATTGTAAGGGATGGGAGTTTTGGCTCCGCCCCCTTAGCCAGACCACGCCCCTTCACTTTGGCTACTCCCCCATTTAGTCCAAGCTCCGCCCCCTTTATTGTGTTGTCATCCCCCCTCCCATTGCAAGGGATGGGAAGTTTGGCTCCGCCCCCTTAGTCAGGCCACACCCCCTCCGATTGGCCACATCGCCTTATGACCAAATGACTCCACCCCCATTGGATGTGACTTGGGCAGGCTCCGCCCCCCTCTTCCAAGCCACGCCCCCTTACAGCCCAAGCTCCACCCCCTTTGAGATCCCAACCACCCTCCCCCATTGGATGCAATGGGAGGGCTGGCCCCGCCCTCCCTAACCACGCCCCCTCCCCGTATCCCCCCCCACATTCAACCCAAGCCCCGCCCCTTCGCGCTCCTCAACCCTCCCCATTGGATGAGAAGGGGTTGGCTCCGCCCCCTGCCCCAGGCCACGCCCCCTTGCACCCCAACCTCCCTTGCCTCCCCCACCCTGATCCCTTTAAGCCCCGCCCCCTTTCTCCTTTAGCCCCGCCCCTTTCCCTTTTAGCCCCGCCCCCTCTGAGCCAAGCCCCGCCCCCGCAGGTCAATGATTGGTCGCTGTCGCGCCTCCGCCGGGTCACGCAGGTCACGCGGCGCCTGCAGCGGGAGCGCAGGTGAGAGGGGGCGGGGTCAGCGCTGGGCCACGCCCCCTTTCCCCCCCTTGGCCACGCCCCCTCCCTGTGGCCACGCCCCCCCCTCGCTGACTCCGCCCCCTGCAGGTTCCTCATGAAGGTCCTGGACTCGTACGGGGACGACTTCCGGCAGGGACAGCTCACAGTGCTGCTGCAGGTGGGACCCATAGCGACCCATAGCGACCCATGGCGACCCATAGAGATCATAGGGACCCATAGCGACCCATAGGGACCCATAGAGACCCATAGGGACCCATAGAGACACATAGGGATCCATAGAGACCATAGTGACCCATAGAGATCATAGGGACCCATAGCGACCCATAGGGACCCATAGCGACCCATAGGGACCTATAGAGATCATAGGGACCCATAGCAACCCATAGGGATCCATAGAGACCATAGCGACCCATAGCAACCCATAGGGACCATAGGGACCCATAGAGATCATAGGGACCCATAGCAACCCATAGGGACCCATAGAGACCCATAGGGACCATAGGAACCCATAGAGACCCATAGCGACCCATAGGGACCATAGAGATTATAAGGACCATAGGGACCCATAGAGACCCATAGGGACCCATAGTGACCATAGCGACCCATAGGGACCCATAGGGATCATAGGGACCATAGCGACCCACAGAGATCATAGGGACCCATAGCGACCCATAGGGACCATAGAGACCCATGGGGACCATAGGAACCCATAGAGACCCATAGGGACCATAGAGATTATAAGGACCATAGGGACCCATAGAGACCCATAGGTACCATAGGGACACAGAGAGAGCCATTGGGACCCATGGAGACCTATAGAGACCTATAGGGTCCCATAGAGACCCATAGGGACCCATGGAGACCTATAGGGACCCATAGAGACCCATAGATAGCCAAAGTGCCCCATAGAGCCCCATAGAGACTTTATGGAGCCTCCCAGATACATTAGAGCACTCCATAGAGGCCCACGGCGCCCCATAGCAACCAGTACAGACCCATAGCGACCCATAGAGACCCATAGGAGCGAGACTCATAGGGCCCCTTAATAGATTCTCTATAGAACTCCATAGCACCCCATGGAGCCCCATAGAGCCCTATAGACAGCCCCATAGCACCCCATAGCATGCCATAGAGCCCCGTAGCCACCCCATAGAGCCCCGTAGCAAACCTTAGAGCCCCATAGCCGCCCCATAGCCTCCAATAGCGCCCCATTGCACCCCATAGCCGCCCCATAGCAAACCGTTGAGCCCCATAGCCACCCCATAGTGCCCCATTGCACCCCATAGCCGCCCCATATCAAACTGTAGAGCCCCATAGCCACCCCATAGTGCCCCATAGCCACCCCATAGCCACCCTATAGCACCCCATAGCAAACCATAGAGCCCCATAGCCATGCCACAGCACCCCACAGCACCCCATAGCCTCCCCATAGCAAACCATAGAGACCCATAGCAAACCGTAGAGCCCCATAGTGCCCCATTGCACCCCATAGCCACCCCATAGCGCCCCATAGCCACCCCATAGTGCCCCACTGCACCCCATAGCCACTCTATAGTGCCCCATAGCAAACCGTAGAGCCCCATAGCCACCCCATAGCGCCCCATAGCAAACTGTAGAGCCCCATAGCCACCCCATAGTGCCCCATAGCCACCCCATAGCCACCCTATAGCGCCCCATAGCAAACCATAGAGCCCCATAGCCATGCAACAGCACCCCACAGCACCACATAGCCTCCCCATAGCAAACCATAGAGCCCCATAGCAAACCGTAGAGCCCCATAGTGCCCCATTGCACCCCATAGCCACCTCATAGTGCCCCATAGCCACCCCATAGTGCCCCATTGCACCCCATAGCCACTCTATAGTGCCCCATAGCAAACTGTAGAGCCCCATAGCCACCCCATAGTGCCCCATAGCCCCCCCATAGCCACCCTATAGCACCCCATAGCAAACCATAGAGCCCCATAGCCTCCCCATAGCCACCCCATAGCAAACCGTAGAGCCCCATAGCCACCCCATAGTGCCCCATAGCCACCCCATAGCCACCCTATAGCACCCCATAGCAAACCATAGAGCCCCATATCCACCCCACAGCACCCCATAGCCTCCCCATAGCGCCCCATAGCAAACCATAGAGCCCCATAGCCACCCCATTGCACCCCATAGCTGCCCCATAGCCGCCCCATAGCGCCCCATAGAGCCCCTAACCCCCCCCCCATTGCCCCCCAGGACGAGGGCAGCCCCACGGACGCCCCCACCCCCGGCAATGCTGAGAACGAGCCCCCCGAGAAGGAGCCGCCCCCCAACCCCCCCCCCGCGCCCCCCAGCCCCCCCCCGGAGCCCCCCAAGAGGCGCCGCCGGAAGGGGGGGGCGGCCCCCGGGCCCCCCGGCTCCTTCAGCCCGGTATGGGGGCAATGGGGGGCAATGGGGGCAATGGGGGTCAATGGGGGCAATGGGGGTCAATGGGGTTCAATGGGGGCAATGGGGTTCAATGGGGATCAATGGGGGTCAATGGGGGTCAATGGGGATCAATGTGGGGCAATGGGGTTCAATGGGGATCAATGGGGGGCAATGGGGATCAATGGGGGTCAATGGGGGCAATGGGGATCAATGGGGGGCAATGGGGATCAATGTGGGGCAATGGGGGTCAAGGGGGGGCAATGGGGGGCAATGGGGGCAATGGGAATCAATGGGGGCAATGGGGGGCAATGGGGGGGCAATGGGGTTCAATGGAGGGCAATGGGGGGCAATGGGGGGGCAATGGGGTTCAATGGGGGCAATGGGGGGCAATGGGGGGGCAATGGGGTTCAATGGGGCAATGGGGGGCAAGGGGGTTCAATGGGGGGCAATGGGGTTCAATGGGGCAATGGGGTTCAGTTGGGGGCAATGGGGATCAATGGGGGGCAATGGGGGGCAATGGGGGGGCAATGGGGATCAATGGGGGACAATGGGGGGCAATGGGGAGCAATGGGGTTCAATGGGGATCAATGGGGGGCAATGAGGGTCAATGGGGGAGCAATGGGGCAATGGGGATCAATGGGGGCAATTGGCAATGGGGGTCAATGGGGATCAAGGGGGGGCAATGGGGTTCAAGGGGGGGCAATGGGGTTCAATGGGGTTCAATGAGGATCAGTGGGAGGCAATGGGGATCAATGGAGGGGCAGTGGGGATCAATGGGGGGCAATGGGGGAAATGGGGATCAATGGGGGGCAATGGGGTTCAATGGGGGGCAATGGGGTTCAATGGGGATCATGGGGGCAATGGGGATCAATGGGGGCAATGGGGATCAAGGGGGGGGCAATGGGGTTCAATGTGGATCAGTGGGGGCAATGTGGATCAGTGGGGGGCAATGGGGATCAATGGGGGGCAATGGGGATCAGTGGGGGCAATGGGGGGCAATGGGAATCAATGGGGGCAATGGGGGGCAATGGGGGGGCAGTGGGGTTCAATGGGGGCAATGGGGTTCAATGGGGATCAATGGGGGGCAATGGGGATCAATGTGGGGCAATGGGGGTCAAGGGGGGGCAATGGGGATCAATGGGGGGCAATGGGGACAATGGGGTTCAGTTGGGGGCAATGGGGTTCAATGGGGATCAATGGGGGGCAATGGGAATCAATGGGGGCAATGGGGTTCAATGGGGGGCAATGGAGATCAATGGGGGGGCAATGGGGTTCAATGTGGATCAATGGGGATCAATGGGGGGGCAATGGGGTTTAATGTGGATCAATGGGGGCAATGGGGATCAGTAGGGGGCAATGGGGTTCAATGGGGATCAGTGGGGATCAGTAGGGGGCAATGGGGATCAATGGGGTTCAATGGGGGCAATGGGGATCAATGGGGTTCAATGGGCAATGGGGATCAAAGGGGGGCAATGGGGGGCAATGAGGGCAATGGGGTTCAATGAGGATCAGTGGGGGCAACAGGGATCAATGGAGGGGCAATGGGAATCAATGGGAGGCAATGGGGATCAATGGGGGGCAATGGGGTTCAGTTGGGGGCAATGGGGTTCAAGGGCGGGCAATGGGGCTCAATGTGGATCAATGAGGGGCAATGGGCATCAATGGGGGTCAAGGGGGGGGCAATGGGGATCAATGGGGGACAATGGGGATCAATGGGGGGCAATGGGGTTCAATGGGGGACAATGGGGGCAATGGGGGCAATGGGGGACAATGGGGGCAATGGGGATCAATGGGGATCAATGGGGGCAATGGGGTTCAGTTGGGGGCAATGGGGTTCAAGGGGGGGCAATGGGGATCAATGGGGGACAATGGGGATCAATGGGGGGCAATGGGGGTCAATGGGGGGCAATGGGAATCAATGGGGGACAATGGGGATGAAGGGGGGCAATGGGGTTCAATGGGGTTCAATGAGGATCAGTGGGGGACAATGGGGATCAATGGGGGGCAATGGGGGGCAATGGGAATCAATGGGGGACAATGGGGATCAATGGGGGGCAATGGACAATGGGGATCAATGGGGGGCAATGGGGATCAATGGGGGTCAAGGGGGGGCAATGGGGTTCAATGGGGGCAGTGGGGGGCAATGGGGATCAATGGGGTTCAATGGGGATCAATGGGGAGCAATGGGGTTCAATGGGGGCAATGGGCGCAATGGGGATCAATGGGGTTCAATGGGCAATGGGGATCAATGGGGTTCAATGGGGATCAATGGGCAGTGGGGTTCAATGGGGGCAATGGGGGGGCAATGGGGATCAATGGGGGGCAATGGGAATCAATGGGGGGCAATGGGGATCAAGGGGGGGCAGCGGGGTTCAATGAGGATCAATGGGGGCAATGAGGGTCAATGGGGGAGCAATGGGGAACAATGAGGATCAATGGGGGGCAATGGGGTTCAATGAGGATCAGTGGGGGGCAATGCAGATCAATGGAGGGGCAGTGGGGATCAATGGGGGCAATGGGGGGCAATGGGGATCAATGGGGGGCAATGGGAATCAAGGGGAGGCAATGGGGGTCAAGGGGAGGCAATGGGGTTCAGTGGGGGGCAATGGGGATCAATGGGGGCAATGGGGATCAATGGGGGACAGTGGGGGCAATGGGGTTCAATGGGGGCAATGGGGATCAATGGGGGCAATGGGGTTCAGTTGGGGGCAATGGGGTTCAAGGGGGGGCAATGGGGGTCAATGGGGATTAATGGGGGCAATGGGGATCAAGGGGGGGCAATGGGGGTCAAGGGGGAGCAATGGGGGTCAATGGGGTTCAATGGGGGGCAATGGGGATCAATGGAGGGCAGTGGGGTTCAATGGGGAGCAATGGGGTTCAATGGGGATCAAGGGGGGCAATGGGGTTCAATGGGGGACAATGGGGTCAATGGGGGGCAGTGGGGTTCCATGGGGGCAATGGGGATCAATGGGGTTCAATGCGGTCAATGAGGGACAATGGGGTCTATGGGGATCAATGGGGTTCAATGGGGGCAGTGGGGATCAATGGAGGCAATGGGGATCAATGGGGCAATGGGGATCAATGGGGGCAATGGGGATCAATGGGGTCTCAACGGGGTTTCAATGGGTCTCAATGTGGGTCGTGTCCCCTCCCCCCCTTTCTTCTCTCCCCCAGCTGAAGGGGGAGGGGCCCAGCTCCTGCCCCTCCCCCCCATGGGCCCCCCCCAGCCCCCCCGAGAAGCTTCTGCGCTGCCCCCCCCCCTTCGACTGAGCCCCCCAATAAACCCCCATTGACAACACCTTTATTTGGGGGGGGGGCACCCAATGGGGTGTCCCCCCATATATGTGGGTCTGCCCCATATATTGGGGTCTGCCCCATATATGTGGGTCTGCCCCATATATCGGGGTCTGCCCCATATATCAGGGTCTGCCCCATATATGTGGGTCCGCCCCATATATCGGGGTCTGCCCTATATATGGGGGTCTGCCCCATATATCGGGGTCTGCCCCATATATGTGGGTCTGCCCCATATATGGGGGTCTGCCCCGTATATGGGGGTCTGCCCCGTATATGTGGGTCTGCCCCATATATGTGGGTCTGCCCCATATATGTGGGTCTGCCCCATATATCGGGGTCTGCCCCATATATGTGGGTCTGCCCCATATATCAGGGTCTGCCCCATATATCAGGGTCTGCCCCATATATGTGGGTCTGCCCCATATATGTGGGTCTGCCCCATATATCGGGGTCTGCCCCATATATCGGGGTCCCCTTCAGAGCCTCTTGAGCCACTCGAGGTCGGGTCCTTGGGGGTCACAGGGGTGGGAGGGGACCCCCAGCAGGTTCCCATCGTCCCTCAGCGGCACTGGGGGGGCAGGGGGGGATCAGTGGGGTGGGAGGGGGTTGGGGGTCACACCCCTCCCCCACCCCCCCCCCGTTAGGTCCTATGGGGGGGGGAGGGGTGGTTATGGGGGTCTCCATACCCAGGGTCCCATAGGGGGAAAGGAGGGGGTTCAGTGTAGGGGGGGGGGGGGTTATGGGGGTCCTCCACCCCCCCCCGGGTCCCATAGGGGAAAAGGGGGGGGGTTGGTTATGGGGGGGGGGGCCCAATCACCCCCACAGGACCCATAGGGGGAAAGGGGGGGGTTCATTGGGGGGGGGGTTATGGGGGTCACCCCCCAGGACCCATAGGGGGAAAGGGGGGGGTTCAGTGTGGGGGGGGGTGGTTGGTTATGGGGGTTCCCCAACACCCCCCAGGTCCCATAGGGGGAAGGAGGGGGGTGGTTATGGGGGGTCCCCAACCACCCCCACAGGACCCATAGAGGGAAAGGGGGGGGGTGATGTCCCCCACAACCCCCCGTAGGTCCCATAGGGGGAGATGGGGGGGGCGGGGGGCAAAAGAAGTGTGGGGGTGCTTATGGGGGGTCCATTGGGCATGGACCAATGATGGGGGCACCCCCAAATCCACCCCCCCCCATAAATGGTCCAAACCAGGTGGGTCAGTGCCTGTGATTGGGTATATCGGGGGTGATGTCATCGCTGACGTCATAATGTGGGGTGCGGACCCCCCCCCAACCCCCATATTTGGGGGTTCGTTCTCTCCCCCCCCCCACCTTCTCCCCCCGGCTCCTTCAGCACCATGGGTGTGGACAGCGCCCGGAGGAAGGGGCGGAGTCAATAGGGGTGAGCTCGCTCCTGATTGGTCACTGTTGATGAAGCGTGGCTTCGCGGCCCGACGTTGCCGTGGTAACCACGGCGGGGGCGTGGCCTGAAGAAGGGGGCGGAGACAACAGGCGGGTGATCTTGCTCCTGATTGGCCATTGCTGGGAGCCTCGCGTCCCGACGTTGCCGTGGTAACCACAGCGGGGCGTGGCCTGAAGAAGGGGGGGCGGAGACAGCAAGCGGCTGATCTCGCTCCTGATTGGCCGTTGTTGGGGGCCTCGCAATCCCGACGTTGCTCGTGGTAACCGCGGCGGGGGCGTGGCCTGGAGAAAGGGGGGCGGAGACAATAAGCGGGTGAGCTCACTCCTGATTGGCCGGGGGGGGGGGCCCTTGAAGAAGGGGGCGGAGACAACAAGCGGCTGATCTCGCTCCTGATTGGCCATTGGGGGCGGGGGGGGGGGGGGGGCGTGGCCTCCAGTCACGACGTTGCCGTGGTAACCTCAGCGGGGCGTGGCCTGAAGAAGGGGGGCGGAGACAACAAGCGGGTGAGCTCGCTCCTGATTGGCCATTGTTGGG